AAAAGTAGAAGTGACTGAATTTGCTAATTCTCACCTTCAATACAGCCGTAGAACTCTGTCCTCATGGAAATGTGATCATGCCACGATTCTGGATGAATACGAATGTAGGGAGTAATGATGGGATATTTTAGATCATTACTCACAGGTGTATATCGATCATTATTCCCTGGGAATACCTTAAAGAATGAAGAATTCAAAATGATCAATTTTACCGTGAAATTCGAAAAATCGCATCACTCCACGCCCTCCTCCCCCTCCCCTTTTCGTTTTTCGGAAAATGAAGTCCGAACCGAAAGGTAAAAGTCATCTTTTTTAAGTTCCAACTCAACGCGATTTTTATATTTTTTGGAATTTTTTTTTTCTCGAGGTCAGAAAAACAAACGTTTAAAAAGTGACCTCACAAAAAAGACTCTAAACGAAGTATTTTCAATAATTGTCAAATTTCCCATCACTCTTTTGTTGCGGCTTAATCTTTCAATTGACCAAATTTGAATGAAATCAAACAAAGTGTCCTCATTCAGCGAAAATCAATCTGTCGATCGATAAAACAAAAACTTTTACTTCCGGTTGGTCAGCTGTGTCCATTTTCTCGGTAAATATTTACTCTTTTAAGACTGATTTTTCTTTTTTTTTTTTGTTTGAAAGCTCATGGAAGGAGAAAAACGAAAATTGGAAGATTTTCACTTTGAAGGTATATGGTAACCTTAAGACGTTCCATCTCAAACGTGACAGGTTTTTGTATTTTTGTGACCTCTGAAGAAGAACCCCTCACAACCTCACTTCTACACACCTCATAATATCACCCAGTAGCAATTACTCTTCTTATATACAAACAACAATGCAGAGGAAGGCTACAGAGTGCAATTTCAGAGCTGATCCACTTAAATGTCTTTAAAAACCAACAAACAAAATTCAAGCTCCTTTGAAAAGAATTGTGTATTTCTCGTCACATTCGCCATAGCGTTTTTAGCATTGAAGCTGGAACTCCCACAAATGGACGTCCACGATTTACTTCAGCTCCGAGAAAGAAGGGACCTCGAAAAAAGTAAGAATAAAGAAAGCATGAATGTCTTTTCGGAGGACATAGTGATCTAGGTAAAAAACAGACCCAGATCTCTCAACGTCACACACTCACTGCCTGCTAGGCCATCATGCCTCTAAGTGACAAGTAACTTGATAAATTCAGCACAGGACTTAGTGCCAGAACATAGACAGATTTAAAGCAATCTTTTGTTAGTCATTCCTTTACTTACTCTCTTGACTCCCTCCTCTGTGTAATCTTGAAAAAGCACTGAATCGTATCCATAAGATAGGCTGAAACTTTCTACCCACTGATCTTCATCCACTCTTCCCTGAATAGCCACTCGCGTTACTTTTCTCCAGTCAATAAAATTTACTTGGAAAAATTGATCCTTGTCATTCCATTGTGCTACCCAGCCACCAGTAACTTGCCATGATCTGCGCAGGAAATGTAGCCTTCCATAAGAAGCACTTCGATACTCAGAGGAAGCTGTTATAGCAGAGTCTGGAATTTGTTTATTCTGCATTCCAAGAGCTTCTAAACACAATGGAGGCTTTGGCGTCGGGAAACCTATTTTGATTAAATAGCAAACCGGTAATCAAATCGGAGATAACATAGGATAAGATAAGATAAGGTAAGATAAGAACCCTTATTTAAGTGACAAATGCATAAAAGTATCTGGAATAGGCAAAGCAACTGGCCATTTAATTTTCTCTTGCTGCATAGAGATGACAGGTAACTTGGCTAATTCTTATTTCACCTAGTTCTGACAGCTGATATACCTTGTAGGAAAATCAGCAAGAGATACTGATGATGGATGTTTGTGGTAAAGGATAACCAGCAGCGTATATTCTATCGAGCAAGTAAGATTTAGTTATATATCGTTATGCTGACAACCTTGAAATATTAATTTATCTACAGCGTCGTTTACGAACGACAGGTAAATTATATATAAGGATACGCGAGCCAAACGAGCATAATGATCCATACCATCACTGCATCCGTACAACTCTACCCTTAATGACGGCATTTCTTGGTATGTTTTAACGTTGATTTTGATAAAACGAGCGATGATCGGAGGATCAAGGATGTGGCCCACTGTATGAACTTTGTCTGTGTTTCCTTGTAGAACCTTTAAACATTAAGAACGTGAGCATCTTAGCACGCAGCGTTTGTTCCTCCCTTTTCGTATCTTTTCGTTTAGCTTTCGCAAAGAATCTTTTGGATTAAGAAAAAATTAATAAAGGAATTCCTAGAGTGGTGTTTCTAAGGAGAAGTCACTATTTCGGTTATCATTCTATTATTTTTTTCGAGAAAAAAAATCATTCAAACACTTGCATTGACGATATTTGTTTCTGGAATATTAGCCAAAATAATACTTAGCCAATTATTCACCGAAATTGCGAAGCGGCGAGTTAAATAGGCACCACTTGCACCACACAAGCTGAATAACTAGCGCGCGGAACAAAATAATCTCCATTTATGACAATAAACTGACAAACCGCAAACGGGAAGGCATTTTCTGTTTCTCTCTGGCTGCTCGGGAGTAAGTAGTACCTTACCAATCATTCCTGAGTTAACCAATCAGAACGCACTATTCAGTTGTGTGGTATATACGAATAAAAGGTAAACCCCATCCAGACCATATATTAATATGTAGATGCCAGAATTATGCCAATACCTGACCATTGTTGTGGGATGTGAATGTTACCCCGTCCTGGCTGTAATCCAGGGTATAGGTTTTTGTCCACCAGTTTATATCAAATGATCCTTGAGTGGCAATCCTTGTCACCTTGGTAACATTTTCCAAGTCAATTTGTAGAAATTGATAGTCCTTCGGGTAGTAGTACGGCACCCATCCTCCTTTGAAGTTTCCTATAGTACAAATAAATTAGTAATAAAATAACGCATTGGCGGATTGAGAAAGAGTAATAAAAAATGGTTCCCTTTTAGTTTGTGGTAATTTCTTCCTTTGTTCTGAAATACGTATTGCTGCATGGCATTGCGCGGGTCGTTCTCTCGATTACGTCGCTCGAGACTATAGCAAATTTTAACAAATTAAAAGCCTGCTTAAAACGATATGTTTTTAAGATAGCACTTAAACTTGAAAGAGAGTCAAGACTAAATATGCTACTCGGTACGTCGATTGTTCCAGAGCTTCGGGGCTGCATAACAGAATGCTCTTCCTCCAAGTGTTGCGAGTCTCTTGCCGCTTGGAACCGTCAAACATAGCTTTTTGACTGAATCTAAGCGAATATCTAGTTAATGTTTTTTGAGTGACCAATTTGCAGATGTAATCAGGTGCCATGCCGTAAATAGCTTTAAAAGTAATGAGCAGAATTTTAAATTAAGGTCATTCCTCGCATTTGCATTGCGCATCCTTACCGCGCATAATTTATGGCGTCATTAGCGCTCTCGTGCACGCGCATATTGAAAACATGACGGATTTGCCTAGATATTGAGCTCTGTCAGCTGAAAAATGGCTCTAGCTCACCAACGAGCACGGGCACTCCAATTTTTTTTTTCAGTCATTGTAATCAACTAATCATAAGCTTTGCATGAGAAAAGACTGATCTAATTTCTATTGCTGAAAATTGAATAAATAAGAAAAATAGCAAATACACTGTGGTCTTTTCTATTTTGCAGTTGGTAACCACGTCAAGAAATTTGGTTCANTGCCCTAGCTGAAATTCTAATAATTTAATAACGTTCATGGAATATTACCTTCCGTTTTCTCATTCAGTCTTCCTCTCTCTGGTCCCCGGAACTGGTCAAAACGTGACGATGCCACAATACTCGAGTCTGGTATCTTTCCGTTTTCCATTCCCAGCGGGGATGCACATACTATTTCGGGGATTTCTAATCCTGCTTACAACGAAGCGAAAGTACTAAAATAAGCCACATGATATGCAATTTAAATAATGTCATTATCGTAACTAGCCGTAACTACATTAGAAGTGGACAGCAACTTATGAATAACTGATGAATCGTAGTTGCCTGACGCATATATTCTCAATAGAAACCTTTGGAAAATTTGTTGAGCGTCGCTCTAAACGTTCTGTTGCTTTCAACTTTTGTTGCCATTATTATGTGATTTGCGATTTTGTGCGGTCGGGAATCGTCATACAATATAAAACCATCTGATGGCTATCATCATTTTTTTTAATCGTGAATGGGACTCAAAAGGCCCTTTGCAGATGGGGTCACGTGACAACATTTTTGCTCACATCATCGCCTAGCTTCAAAGGGCCTATGAGTTTCCCCCATCAGAATGAAGACCTAAATTATGGCACTCGAGCAACTAAAGGTTTGAAATGTGAGGTTTTTAGAGACCTCCAGTATACAGTAGGGAATTAAGACAGTAGAGAAGTAAAACATCGTTCCTTGCATACGGCCGGTGCGCCTGAAATTTGAATTAACCAATCAGAATTCTGCAGGAGGGAAAAACACTTCTGTCCTGACGTCAAATGCACGTTAATTGAAGTCGGACATCATTTCTTACTGGAGGCGTCATTAAATCTTCACGAAAAAGGATATTTTGACTTCAAAAGCCATATCAGTTTGTCAAGAGTGAAAAATATGAAGCATTTTGTGTCTCCAACTTTTAATTTGGCTCCAAAAATGGGTCACCCGCGCTCGGCAACTCGCTCTTCGATCGCTGTCGCCAGGTAGGATAATAGTTGTGTCGTTTTGAACATTTTCAACAAAATATGCTGTTTCTCGTCAAATTAAACCCTTAATTTTTGAGTTGAGTATTAGAAAAAGCCAAAGCAACTTAGAATTGTCTTTACTTTTTTTTAGCTGTGAAGAAAAAGACTATTATCGTGTCCTTTCGGTAGGACAGCTAAGTTTTGACTGCCGCTCGTACTGCGGGTGCAGCCACCGTATGCAAGGTTGTTATTTAACTTTTATTGTTATTGTTATTATTATTGTTATTATTATTATTATTATTATTATTATTATTATTGTTCTAACTAATTTCGCCGATAACCTTAACTTTATCCAGATCTTTACTCAACAAGTTCATGTTTTAGTGTCACGTGACATCCGTTTGAAAAGTGGCAAATGGGAAAGTTTTTCAAAGGTGACCACAAATATAGATGTATTCTGAATCTGTCTTTTATTAGGGTGGTAATAGTTATTTTTATTAAAAACTTATTGAAATAGTGGTAAGATTCGACCCTTCAAATTTGAGCACGATCTAGCAACAACTTCACATTCAAACAAAAATGTAATATGAACCGCTTAACTGGGCTGTACGGGTCCGCAAATGATCCCAGGACTGCAAATGATCCCGGACCGCAAATGATCCCCAAATTGAACCACAAATGATCCCGGACGGGAATGATCCCGGCCATATTGGACCGCAAATGATCCCGATCAAAAAATAGGAATGGCATGGATTTATATCAGAGGAAGGTGAGAACATGTACAAAAACTATGAACTAAAAAACGTGTTTCATCATTTTACCAAAAAATATTCCACAGTTGCGGTTTTTGTTCCTCGAAGGGTACAGATCGTTTTCACTGTCACGCAATAAAAAAATAATAATAATAACAAATCGAAAACCAACCAATGGGAAAAAGCTAAGAAGTTGTGATGTACGCTATAGAAGATAGCTAAATAAGACACTTTCCAAGTTTTAGGCCTGTGCGTTTCCCCAAACTTCAAATATTCGTCGTAAATGTTTGCCAGAAATTTACAGAGCCCAGTAAGAAAACGCCATGTTGGTGTACATCCGTGGTACACCAATATGGCGGCCGGAAAATAGTGTAAACATCTAGAACTTACTTTGGCTTTCTAGGCGACTGATTATCAGTACTAAACAAACAAACATTTACATAACTACTTTTCCTAACGCTCTAACTTCTAAAAAGGCTCAAAATCATGAGATAAGTATATATTTTTCAACAAACTCGATC